GACTCATTTAACACTCGATTTGTGGCGAATACGCGACACACTGTTCGCCGGCATTCAGACCAATCACCGGAAACTACAGGCGCTCTGCATCTGTACCACACATGAAGACAACAAATACAATGAATCGGATTTCGAGGCATTTATTATGAGATGCAGTCATAAATTGAGTGGATTTACGGTCTGTCAATGGGGTAGACCTGAGATCCACTTCAATGACCAACAGATCTATGAAATGAGACACAATTTGTCGTCAAATGAATGAATGAATTGTGAAAATTATTTTGATTTACTATTTGTAGAAATTGTTTTAAAATAATAATATNAATAGATTACTACTACACTTTAATTTAATTTAAATGTGAAGGTTATCTACACTAAAAATGCACCAGTTCATAACATTTTGTATATAAGGGAGTATTTAACAATTTTATGTTTAAGTATTAAAAGTTCTGAAAATAATATAGCTGAGTTTATTATTGTATTCATTTTAAAAATGAAATTAATAGTATTATTGGCATTGATTTCAATAGTTTGTGCGGATTTTGATATCAAAGACTATAAAGATGTGATAAATTCACGAAACTTTACGGGAAAAGTAGTTTTGGTGACCGGAAGTAGTTCTGGAATCGGGGAGGGGATCACTAAACTCTTCTCTATATTAGGGGCCAATGTTGTGGTCACCGGTAGGAAAGAAGCGGATGTCCAGAGAGTTTCCAAAGAGGTTCAGGAATTATCACCAAAGAAACTAAAGGTTTGAAAACATAAAACCTGTAATTAATTTGAATGTAATATAATATTAATTTGATTTATACTGAACAGCCATTAGAAGTGGTCGGAGATCTCACCAAAACTGAAGACATCAACACTTTGATCTCAAATACTATCAAAACATTTGGAAAATTAGATGTTTTGGTGAACAACGCCGGTATAATGACGCCCACAAACATCACTCAAACAGACTTAATTCAAGTTTGGGATCAGATCTTCGCCGTAGACTTGAGGGCAGTCGTCGAACTGATCCACGAATCGGTTCCACATTTGGAGAAAACTAACGGAACTATTATTCAAATCTCGAGTAATTTAGGCATAGCTCCGGTATGAAAGATATTTTATTTTTATATTTTACTGCAATTAAGTTATGATTATTTTCATAATTATCAATACAATCCTATTAACAGTACAAACCAAGCCTGGCCTACGGGACGGCAAAAGCGGCCTTAGATATGATGACTCGAGTACTGGCCCTTGAATTGGGACCCAAAGGCATTCGTGTCAATACATTGAAGTAATTTAATAATTTAAAATTATATTTCGTTATAATTATATTTTTTTAGTTAAAAATTATCTCATTTTAAATATAATACTCTGTAGTCCGGGCTCAACACAAACCACTGATAAGGTGGACCCTACATATGAAAAGGCAAAGGGTTTCACACCACTTAAACGATTAGGACAACCATTAGATATGGCGAAAGGGGTGGCATTCCTGGCCTCAAGTGATGCCTCATTCATAACCGGCGCTAATCTGGTGGTCGACGGCGGACTTGTCTATAATATCGGCGCTTTTAATACTTTATAATTTATCAATAATTTATAACAATTTTAAGAAATTATGAGATAAAACATAATTTGAGTATTAAGTCGTTTAATACACAAATGTTTGAGTTATCCTTCAAACGTTTTGCTAACACTTAATTCATTACTACTTTCATAACAACGAGATATTCAATGAATTAATGATTATTTTTAAATTATTTGTTTGGCCGAAAGTCATTAAATAAAGTAAACTTTTAACGCAAACACATAAACATTCAATTCAAATAAATCTATAAATTTTGGTTTATAAATGGTTTTAAAAATATAATTCACACAAAAACCACAAAAACATGGACTTCGATGTCGAATACGAAAGGTATGTTCCGAAGAGTTTCCCCAAAGACTTGATCCAACAGGCAGTCAATTATAAGCCTATGGATAACGACGTGTTTATCGTCTCGTATCCCAAATGTGGCACAACTTGGACTCAACAGATCCTATACCTACTGCTCAACGATGGTGTTCCGCCTAATAAGACAATCCTATTCAGCAAATCCATACCATTCCTCGAGTTATGCGCACCGGAAGCGCCCCGGGATAGGGATCGGCACCTCATTAGGGGTTTCAAGACACACCTACCGTCCCATTTAGCGCCGTACGACAAGTGCGCGAAATACATATATTGCGTGAGAAATCCAAAGACTGTTTGGTATCGTTTTGGTATCACGAGAAGGACTTCCCTCTACTCCCGTGCCATGACTTCAATGGGTTCTTCAAATTATTCATGAGTGGACAGACAGGTTATGGCGATTATTTTGATCACCTAATGGGTTGGTATGAACGGCACCGACACTCAGATAATGTACTTATCGTACACTTCGAGGACCTGAAGGCAGATCTCGAGGCGGAAGTGAAACGAATCGCGCGATTCATAAGCGATGACTCGTATGAGAGACTCGTTTCTCATAAAACTTTCGCCGAAAATGTGTTAAAGTTTTCGACATTTGATTTCATGAAGACGTCGACCAATGAACACATGAAACAGTTCTTTGAGATGAGTGTCAACGACATGGAAAGAGATGACCAGATATTGGATGGATTTAAGGACGCGTTTCGCGGTATTAAGACCGAGAAGACGGTTAATATCGCACCGGAAGTCAATCACATTCGTAAGGGAATTGTCGGTGACTTTAGGACACACTTTACTGCCCAACAAAATAAGGCAATGAATGATAAGATTGTAAGAAAAGTGGGATATTTTGATGAATTTATAAATAAATGGAAACCATTTATGGATTTATGAAATTCTTAACGTTAAATGAATTCATCTCAAGTGTGCAATGAATTGGCTTTTAATTAATATTTGTGTTTCAAAATTAATATAAATCATTTTAATAAATATATTGAATGCAATTAATTTTTTAAATAATCATTTCAATACTGTGAATACTGTATTTGATTTAGTTGTACTAAATAAGCAAGCTAAATAGACCTCAATTTTATTTGACAAATCTGTTTATAAAAGCTATAATATGCAGGGTCATTTAGTGATTATATTTATCAGTGGAATAATTTTGAAATAATAATATTCACATGAAATGGCTGTTAATAAACACATTGACTTAATTAGTAATTAGTTCTGATACTTTATATTTAACCAAGGTTAGTGCTAACCATTATTTGTATGATTTCGCAGTGATTGCTATTTGAAAGTAAATTAAAGTGTTATTTATTGATTCAAAAATTATATGATTATACGTTTCCCGCCGTTTAATGATTACTGATCACTGATCACTGATCAGGGTTATTTGAAATTTGTAAAACAGTCATTTGTAACAAGGTGATAACTATCAAAAACTAAGTAGTCATTGAAAACTTGAATACAATTTCTAATGAGTTTTTAACAATTGTATTTAAATACACATTATTATAGTAACTAAATTAATTTATTTGTTCTTGACACAATTTTATTACAATTTTAATGAATATTTCATGAAATAGTGTTCACTATAACGGGTGTGTATTGTATGCAACGACCGACACATCGATGGTATCGATCGTAACGATTGTATCGATTGTTTGCAAACA